CAGGTTCCGCCTCAGGGGAGCCTCTGAGAGCCGATGGCCCCCACCCAGGTGCCTCAGTGAGGAGAGCTGGGCGAGTCCTGCCCCCCGCCTTGCTGGCCGGGTGCCCTCAGCACGCCACTCCTGGACCGGCTGCCTGTCCCACCTGGTGCCTTGGATCCTGTAGTCACCCATGTGACACCTGCCCACCGGGGTCCTCTGAACCCATCTGCTCCTCAGCTTGTCATGGGCTTGGGGACCCTCCCAGGCAGCTTCACGTCATTGTCTTGTTCCATCCCCAGAGTGACCCCATGGGAGAGGCGCTGCCCCATTTTACAGATAAAGAGACTGAGGTTCAGAGAGGTGACACTTCCTGTTTGAGGGATCACAGCCAGACGGAAATTCTGTGGGGACCTCCAGTTGAGCCGTGCCCTCTGGCTTCTTGACCAAGTCAGTCTGGGAGACACCCCCACCCCACTCCCTTCCTGTAGCCATCCAGGGCACCTGGGTAGGTCAGGGTTCTGAGAAGTCCTGCAGGTGGGAACCAGGCTGGGTCCTTCCTTGCAGGACTTCGCAGTCTCCAGTTGCCCCACTCGACCTGCCCCTGCCCTGGAATCTGCTTTTCCCAGGACACTTGCTCAGAGTCCCCAGAACATTTTCTGAACCTTTGATCAGTGGTACCTGGAAGCCTCCTAGTGGGACCACATTAGCATTCTGCACACACAACCTCCAAGAGTCTCCAAATGCACTCCTTGGGGGCAGATTCTGTCCATTGTTATTCTGATTTTGCAGAAGAAGAGACGGAGGCTCCAAGTGGATCCCACTTCCCCAACATCCCATGGCTTTCAGCAGAGGAATAGGGTTTAACTAAGCAGTCAGCTCCTGAGTGCTGCCTTTCCTTGAGGCGGCCACTGCCTCTGCGGCTTATCTCTTCCCTGCAGGTGGTCTCCGTCTTCACCGCCTGGGAATTGGAAATCTCTGTGTGAGCAAATGCGAACCAGATGCGCCAACATTATAAATAAGTCACATAACGTTGAGTGATCCAGGGCCGCCCAGCTATTGTTGGGAGGAGAAGTAACTTGGTTATTAATAAATGCAGGAGGCCACGGTAATTGATAGCGATTGAACTCCCAGTGTGCAGCTAAAACAGCCAGTGTCTCTCCCTCTGTCTGTCTCTCCCCCTCTGTCTGTCTCTGCATTGATCATAAAGGGGAAAAACCTGCTTTTTAGGTGGATTTGACATCAGAACCACAGCTCCACGCCTTCCTGTGTTCCCCCATTTCCTTCTCCCATTTGCACAACTTTCTCCTTTGTTCTCTTTTCAAATCCCACTCAGGCTCTTGGTGACAAATGGCTGTGGGCAGGTGACTCTGAGGCGATTTCCCTGCGTTGCCTTGGGTGGGGCTCTCTCAGCTCGGCTCTAGCTAGGCCAGAGCTTCCCCTCCCTGGAGATCACAGGATATGTTTTCAAGGCTCTGAGAAGTCCTGCGGCGTTGAGACCCCACCACCCATGCCCGTGACCAGTGGAGGTGATGCAGGGACCGTTCATTGTCCCCTCCAGACACTGGGAACATTCTGGAGGATGACCCCTATGACAAGCGCTTTAATCTCTGGCCCCCTTCTGGGTGGCCACCCTGTCCAGCTCCACATCCCCGTTCCGACCCAGGGGTCATTGGCTTGGTCCTGCTCTTGAGAGGTCGACCCCTGAGCCCCACCCCCAGACCCTCTGGGTATTTTATTTAGAGACTGGGTCTCCCTGAGTTGCTTAGGGCCTCGCTGTGGCTGAGGCTGGCTTTAACCCACGATCTTCCTGCCTCAGCCTCCGGAGTTGCTGGGATGACAGGTGTGTGCCACCACGCCCGGCTCTCTTTTCCAAATCTTGGAGGAGACTGGAAGGGAAGTGACCTGGGCCATCCTTGGTGACAGCTACCCATTCATCCACAGATCCCTTCATTTCATTGCTCACTTTACAGAGGTTGTCGAGCCTTCCTGATATCAGGGTTGATCCAGGACCTGGGGAGGCAGCCAGGACTGTTAGGTGGGTTTGAGGTGATTAAGCAACACGTGTCCGAGAAAGAACCACCTATCAGGCGCCGACACAACGCCTGTCAATCAGCAGGGGTCCCCTGGCCAGTCCTGGACCTTAGCCAGCTCCCCCTACCAACCCCAGTGGGCCTGTCCCAACCCTCTCTTCCTACCCGAGCCCAATAAAAATTCCAGTCCAGTGGAGCCCCACCTTCTCCTAAGACCCTCTCCCCTGCTGGGCTGTGCTGGCAGGACACATCTCGGACAATGGATGGAAGGGAATGTCCCCCTTCCATCTGCAGGGATCAGAGAGCCCTCTTCCTTGTGGGTCTTCTTTTCAGAAATAGCAATCACGGATATCCGTCATGACTGTGTCCGGGAAGGCCCCTGCTGTTGGGATGTTGGGGACCCTATTTTAGAGAGCAGCGGTGGAGGGTGGGGGGACAGGAATACCCACCTAGAAAGTTCCTTCCTATTAACTTTGCTTTCAGTCCCCAGCTGGGGACAAGAACATCTTGTTCGGTGGTAATGACCCGGGAGGCCTCTGGCGTTACCTGCTAATCTCCCTGACAGAGAGAACGGACTGACGGCAGGCGCAGGTGACAGATCTAATTAGAATCTAATGACATTTTGGTGCTTGCATTGTATTTATTTCTACATTCTCTTGCGACAGGTGACAATGGATTCTCATTTAAGATATCACAGTAACATTTCATTTTACAATGTATTCATTTAAGAGAAGGAGATAAGTGAGTCCGTATTTAAAAAAAAAAAAATGTCTGTTGGGTCATAGCTTAGGACACACGGCTCCAAGATGGCATTTGAAGGACTGATTTGGTTAAAGGAGGTTAGTAGCTGTCTGCTGTTCTGGTGACATCTCTGAGTCAGTTTTCACACTCTAGGACTCTTGGGAAGATTTAATAGTAACAATGTGTCAAAATGCATCCTACTGTCAGAGTAACTAATGAGAGCAGATTTAAAAACTGGAAAAAAAATGAAAAAAGATCTAATAGTAATAATGACTAATTGTGGCTGACACAGGTCCAGCTTTCCCATGTGCTGCTCAGGACACTCTAGCACACACTGTGCAGCTCCAAATGGGAGCGGAGTGGAGAGGCCATGTTACATAGGAGACATAGGAACATAGGTCCTTCTTGCCCCCCCCCCCCCGCCCCCACCACCTACACCATCATCACCACCATCACCACCACCACTATCATCATCTTCTTCATCATTGTGAAGGAGGTAGGACTTCTCGATTTTCCCTCTGAGTGTGAGTGTCATCTCTATCAAGTGGAGCTCAACTCTAAAATAAGGATCATAAGAATGACGCTTTTGTGGTGACCAGTGCTGAGTAACTGGCGTGCTGGAGGATCCCGGGACTCAGTGGTTATCTGTGACACCTTCAGTGACGGGTGGGGCTGTAGTCTCTGATGAAACCTTCCTTCTAGATCCCCAGTCCCCAAGGCTGACTCTTCAGGACGTCTTTCTGAAGAACAGGTCCTCTGTGAGCCCCTGGGTTGGACAGGGACCCTCTATGGGCAGCTGTTATTCTTATTTCAAGGAAGGAGACACATTTGGGAGCAGATAGGAGCCGGGAGAGCATTTTTTAAAGGATGGCACTGATTGACATTGATCTTAGCAGATCATTTAATTCTATTTTGATCACAGAATCAGTCCACAGCCTCTCTGACAACCTGGAAACCCTGGATCCCCTTAGCCAGTTCTGACTTCATATGTGGCCACATTTCCTTTTCTATTATTGTGGCAGCAGCTTGGGATGATGGATGGCAGCAGTTTGGAGTGATTAACTTTGCCATCATGCTCAGGTAGTTCTCTACTCTGCTTTTCACTTAACATTCAGCAGTGGACATTATCCACATTGTTGCCGATTCTGGACGGCCTCATTACCCCATAGCATGGCTCGCCACCGCTTCTTCAGCTCCGTCTAGTTTCCCCCTCCCCTGATGGGCTCTAGACACACTGGCTTTCCTGGTGTCTCCCCAACACACCATGCTCATTTCTACCCCAGGGCCTTTGAACCACCTGCACTACCTATAAAGCACTTCCCTGGTTCTGTATGTGGCCAGCTCCTTCTTACCATTCACAGCCCAGTTCCATATGTCTCCCTGTGGCCATCCCAAATGGATAATGACTCCCTCAGTCTCTCTTTCTCTCACCACCCTGTTTAGTTTCTCCTTGCAGGGTGTGTGTGTGTGATAATTTTGTCATCTGAGGTCATCCTATCCGTGTGTCTGTCTTGTTTATCTGTTTGTCTCCCTGCTCCTTGTCCACTCCCTCCACGGACTGTGTGCTCTGTGAGGATGTCCCTATCTATTGTGTCTGTCATTGATCTCCCTGTGGTCAACATAGGTCTGTCACATAGTAGGAGCTCATAAATAAGCATTGGAGAGATGGATGGCTGGATGGATGGCTGGGTGGAGGGTGGCAGGGGGCTGAGGCTGGGTGAATGGGTAGATGAATGAGTATGTGGGGGAGGGGACACGTCATTGTCTACCTACCACAACCCAATTCCACACTCACAGTGCCTCCCCTTGATTTGTTTTTTGGGGGGGTGTACTGGGGATCAAACCCAGGGATCCTTGACCACTGGGCCACGTCCCCAGCCCTGTTCTGTGTTTTATTTAGAGACTAGGGTCTCACTGAGTTGCCTAGGGCCTTGCTAAATTGCTGAGGCTGGCTTTGAACTCACGGTCCTCCTGCCTCAGCCTCCTGAGCCGCTCGGCCCCCATGATGTCTTTAATTGCCTTGAGAAAGTGAACCGGGCAATGGGGAGGAAAGAGGCTGGGCCTGCCTTTGGGGAAAGCTGACCCTGATCTGGAGACTACACCCCAGGGGGGCCAGGTGGGGCCCTTGTTTGGGGTCCTCCCAGTGGGTTCCCGGAGGTGGAGAGGTGGCAAGGCTCTCTGCGGGCTCTGAGGTGTCCAGCCTCCTCGTGCCTGGACTCAGGCCACGGTGCCCCTCTTGTCCCCGTGCAGTGGGCCGGAAGCAGTTCATGCGTTTCGAGTGGGCGAACCACGCAGCCGTGGCCCTGGGCTGTGAGTTCGAGGAGCTGAACACGGCCACCTTCAAGCACCACCTGCGGCAGATCATCGAGCAAGTGATGTCCAGGCCCAGGCCACGGGGACTCGAGGAGGAGGAGGCCAGCCCAGGTACTGCGCTGTCCCCTCTGTGGGTGTCCAGGGTGTCCTCTGGCCTGCCACCGGGCACCCACAGCCTTCTTTCATTGGCTCATCAAGAAATATCGAAGGCCCCCTCTGTGTCCCTGTGCCAGGAGCAGGAGTGGCAGGTTCCCACCTGGACAGTACCTAGCTCTGCCCAGCGACCGTGAGGCTGCCATGTCCTGGGAGCGGCCCGGGCTGGGGTGGGGACACTGGGGGCAGTGCCAAAGGGCCATGCATTCCTCTGGATGTCACAGGAGTTGAGCCCTCACTGTGAAGGGGGAGGTGGCCTTTCTCTGTGGAACAGAGGCCAGGCTGGCACTGCTGGGCCTGGGGTAGAGGTGGCGCTCAGGGGACCTGCTCCCTGCGGCCTGGGAACTGGGGTTTTACTCTCAGCCACCAGCAGCTCCGAGCGGCGGGCAGGGCTGGTGTGCCGACTCCTTCTGTATAAAGCTCAGCCCGGGAAGGTTGGGGGTGTGTGGGACAAGGGAGCTGGTGACAGTCACGGGGCAAGAGGGGACAGGTGGTGGAGAGGGGACACAGCGCAGAGGCTGAGGCCAGTTTACTAGCTGAGGTGACAGCAGGAACCCTGGGGAAAGGGAGGGACCGAGGACGCCTTCTGCGATGGCCAGGCGGGCCCGTGCTTTTCCCTGGCACGGGGAGAAGCCCGGGAGGCCAGCGCTCTGCAGCTGTAGGGCTGGGGCCGCGGAGCCCGGGGTCTGCAGCTCTGCCCACCAGACGCCCTCCTGCAGACAGGGAGCGAAGGCGGCCTCGGGGCTCTCAGCCCAGGGGCCTCTGAGGACCCTCTAGGAGCAGCTCTCCTCGGGACAGTGGCAGTGTCTGAGCTGTGGCTTCCTCAGAAGTCCCCTGGGTCCTTGCACAGATGCACAGCCCATAAAGGCACCTGGATGTGCAAAACACACACACACACACACACACACACAGGCTGCTTGGCCAGCCTGAGCCGACCTCTCAGGCCATCTCCAGGGTGAACGCGGAGCAGGTGGGGGGGAGGGGGGCTGGGGCTTTGGAGAGATGCTGGGAGGCTGTGGGTTGCCTAGCAACCGCCCAGGGAGAGGTGGAGGGGAGGAGGGCGGGCAGCGCTGGGGCTGCTGGAAGAGCAGAGTGGCCCCCGGCACCCACTCATGCAGATGTGGAAGCCGTGGCTTGAATTCTGCGGCGGGTGCGCACACTCCAGGGTCAGGGCATGTCGTCCCTAGGCCCCGCTCTGCCCCCTTCCCCACTCTGACCCAGGCGGCCGTTTTAACTGCACGCGCCCAGGTGAGTGGGTTGAAGGGCCATCAAGCCGTGGCTGTGATCACGGCCTCGAGCCCTCCCTTCCTCCTGAGGGTCGCAGGCGGAGTCTTCCCCCTCTCCACCTAGCCCCAAGCCGGGCTGTGCCTGAGCCCACTGCGGGCCTCACAGACCGTGGCTCTCTGCGGGCGCTCAAGGTGTCTCCAGAAAGTGATTCTCAGCAGCAGGGGGAAGGACCCGTGTACCAAGATATCTTTGTTTCTCAGAATGTATCATTAGGAGAAAAAAGCCCAGGAGTGAAATTACTAAGTCCCCCAGTATATAACAGGTGACAGTTACTGAAATTAAAATTGCCCAATTTCCCTCCAGAAAAAGCAGACATTCATCACATTTCTACTACATGCAAGGTACAGAGGATTTAAAGGCCAAAAAAACTCAAGAGACAGTCTCTGACTTCAGGGCACTACCTTTGCTGGGGCACGAGGGGGTCCTCTCATGGGAGAGATGCAGGTTTAAAATAACCACACGAGTAAAGACTATGCCATAGTTTGTGTAGTAAAAGCAGGACAGAGCTGGTGGCAGTCAACGAAGGCTTCCTTGAGGAGGTGACTGGGTTAGTCAGTTTTCTGTTACTATAGCAAAATACCTGAGCTAATGAAATTAAAAAGAGGAAAGGTTTATTTTGGCTTACAGTTCTGAAGGGCTTGATTTGTGGTCCTTTGGTCTCATTGCTTTTGGGCCTGTGATGGGGCAGCACGTCTACTCTCCCTTTCAAGGGTATGTCCCCTAGTAGGGTGTGGCAGCCCATGCCTCCATCTCAGCAACTTGGGAGGTTGAGACAGAAGGATCATAAATTTGAGGACAGTCTGGGCAACTTAGGGAGGTCCTGTCTGAAGATAAAAATCAGGAAGGACTGGGGATGTGGCTCAGTGGTAGAGTAACCAAAGTGCAGCAGTAAACACAACAAAATGAAATAAAAATGAGGCCCCCAAGCGCATGGCCTAGTGACCTGGAGCCTCCCAGTAGGCCGCGCCCTGAGGGCCCTGTCCCCAAAGTCCCAGCCCTGAAGTCCCTGCCCCCGAAGTCCCCGCCCCCAAAGGCCCCGCCCCAAAGGCTCCGCCCCAGAAGGCCCCGCCCCCCGAAGTCCCCGCCCCCGAAGGCCCCGCCCTCCCCCACAGCCACCGTGGCTGGGAACCCACCTGTATCAGGTGGCCCTGGGGTGGTTCTGGGTCCCATCCCCAGCAGTGCTGTCCACGTGGAGCACTGGGGGTCACCTGGGGAGCAGCTTGGAGAGCAGGAGGGCCAGGCGGTGCGAGACCGTGGAGTGCTCATAAATCACCTGGACCTTGTCCCAGGAGCTGGCGCTATTTCAACAGTGGCGCTGGGGAGGGGTATTTTCCAAGTCAAGCGACCCCTGCTGTCCTGTGGCAATGTCCTCGGCCCTGAAAGGTGGTGACAGTGGCCTGCCACCCCGTCCTCTTTCTGACTCCAGGGCTCAAGATGATGGGCGTGGAGTGCGTGGAGGGCATGGCCGGCGGCCTGTACCAGGAGCTCTTTGCTGCCGTCGTCTCGCTCATCAACAGGTACTGTGGCCTTTGCTGGGGCACTGGGAGCTCCTGCACGAGGCAGGTTCGACGAGGGGCATTTCTGAGCTGGCCAGAGGGTTGCTGGGGTCGGCAGTGCTGGGTTCCGATTCCACCGTGGCCCCCTGCAGGCCTCTCTGACTTCCCTTTTCACATCTGTAAAATAGGTCTATACCCCAAGGGCATCAGAGGATTAAGGGAAACCAACAAGGAATTTTAGTTGTTGGCTGTAAAAAATCCAATAAGAAAAGCACATTGGCTGGGGGCGATGGCCCACACCTGTCATCCCAGCAGCTTGGGAGGCTGAGGCAGGAGGATCATGAGTTCAAGGCCAGCCTCAGCCACAGCGAGGCCCTAAGCATCTCAGTGAGACCCTGTCTCTAAATAAAATACAGAATAGGGCTGGGGACGGGGCTCAGTGGTCGAGGGCCTCAAGTTCAATCCCTGGAATCCCCACCACCACAAAAGAAAAAAAAAAGCATGTTGGCGGCAGTGGACGTGGACAGTGCCCCCAGCCTGTCCTGGGAACCCTGGGCCTGTCCAGCAGGGCTGAGGGACAGCAGGCGAGGGGAGGAAGCCCAGAGAGCCCCGGGAATCCTGGTGCAGGGACGAGGCTGCGTGTGGCAACAGAGTTAAGGGGACCTCCGGGTTGTCATAGCCACGGTACCAACTTCCCCAGCCGCTGCGGCAGTCACTGCCATCTGGACCCCAGGCTCAAGTGGCTCGAGGTGCTTAGAGGGAGGATGGGAGGGGAGGAGACCGTGGGCAGGGAAAGGCCTCAGCCAGCCAGGGCGCGGCTTGGCCTGGTTCTGGAGCTCACATCTGTGAGGTGGGTGTACTGAGCCTGCCCGCGCCTGGGAGGACCGTCCTCGACTCCACCCACGTCCATGGTGGCTGCTCTCGCTGGCTGGCCCCGCCTTGCAGGTGGAAAGCCTCAGCAGGGAGAAGGGAGAGCTGAGGCTCAGGGTCCCCCAGCCCATCCTGCTAATGGTGATAATAGCAAATGGCCCCCGCCGAGCTCGGCACCCTGGCAAAGGCCGGCTCCCAACCGTGGACGGGTGATCACAGTCCTCCCCGCAGCCCTCTCCTCATGAACCCCGTCACAGAGGAGCGGCTGAGGCTCAGAGAGGTTGGGCACCTGTCCCAGGACACACAGCCCATCCTTGCAGAGCGAGGGTGGACACCCGCGTGATGGCTCCCGTGTCTTCCTCCTGCATTTTGATGTGAGCAAACCCCGCTCTGCCCGCCCTGGCAGACACACCAGGAGGTCCAAGGGGACAGCTTGAAAGAACCCCACTAATGCCCTCACAGGGTGAGTTCTTCTGTTTCGGTGTGCCCCTGGGGAAAGAGAGGGACGCTCTGGTCTTGATGTTGTCGCCCGCTTTCTGGGTGGCCTCCAGCCAGTCGGTTCTGCACCCCGGGCTGGTGAAGTAAGTCACTGTCCTGGAAACTCACTGTCCCTGTGCATCACCAGGTTTTTTTGTTTTTTTTTTTTTTTTTTTTTTTTATTTTGGCACCAGGGACTGAACCCACAGGAGCCTGACCACTGAGCCACCTCCCAGCCCATTTTATTTTTTATTTAGAAACAGGTCTTGCTAAGTTGCTTAAGGTCTCGCGGAGTTGCTGAGGCTGGCCTTGAACTTGCGATATGGGATATGCTTTCTACCCTCTCCTTTCATCCTTGTGATCAAACTCCCTCCTCCCACCACTCTTTAATGGTTGAAGAAACCCATGCTCAGAGAGGTTAAGCCACTCCCCAAGGTCACACAGCCTAGAAGTGGTGAGCTTGGTTTTGAAACGGGTCTGCTGGATCTCCAAACCTGCCGAGCCTGCTGCTGCAGCCTCAGTTTCTCCGTCTCTGTGATGGGGCAGCAGGAAGCTTGGACCAGCAGGTTCTCAGAATCTGTGTTGTCTCAGGGCCTCCCTCTCCTCTCTCTAGATCCTTCTCCTCCCACCACCTCTCCATGGCGTCCATCATGGTGGTGGACTCCCCGGGCTTTCAGAACCCCCGGCATCAGGGCAAGGACCGGGCGGCCACCTTTGAGGAGCTGTGTCATAATTACGCCCAGGAGCGTCTGCAGCTGCTCTTCCACCAAAGCACCTTCGTGTCCACGCTGGAGCGACTCCGAGAGGTGGGACTCGGCCGGGGAGGGAGGGCGGCCCCTGCAGCGCCTGCAGCCCTGTCTGTCTGTGGGGCCGGCCAGTGCTGCAGCCCTTCCTCTCGGCCCGGCCTCGGGGCCTCCGCTGCTCCCTGTCCTACAGCCCGGTCTCCACCAGGAGCCTCCACCCTCCAGCCCCGACACACCAGGAATATGGGCTTCCCGGGCCTCATTCCCATAGTTCTCCCCCTGGGGGAAACCTGCCTCTCCCCCCGCCTCACCAAGCTGAGCCGCTCCCCCCAGTCCTCATGGGCCCTGGCGCACCCCCCACGCGCCCTATGCGCCACTCTGGGCCACTAGGTGACGATTCCCAGCCCAGTGGGAGGTGCCCGTGCCCGTGGGCCAGCAGCTCCCCTCCTGGGGGACTTGGCTGAACGGCAGGGGAGGACCCAGGTCACCCGTGGCACAGGCAGTTGCCGGGTCCCTCAAGTCCTTCCACCGTGAAGAAAAAGGAGTGAAACATTTACCCGCGTCCCTGAGACGGGCTCTGAACAAGGGGCCTGCGGTCATCTCCTCGCCTCCCCGGGGCCTGCAAGTCCAAGGTCTAGGGCAGGCGAGTCTGACTCTCTGGCTAGGGCTGCCCTCGGCCTCCCGGTGGCCGTGAAGTCTGTAAGGAGGGACCCTGTCCCCACACGGCGGGAGGTAGAGGGCAGAGAGCCAGATGCAGGGGACACCCCTTTTATCAGGGTTTAGGCCCCAAAGGAGCCCTCCTGGCCTCATCCCCTCATAGAGGCCCACCTGTGGTACTGTCACCGTGTCACATTGGCCACTGCTTTTCAACACCCGTATTTTGGAGGGGGTGCCTTCAACACAGAAAAGCACAGAAGGACACAGTGTCCAGCCGTGAATTCTTCCAGATGCACATATTCCTGGGCCCCTCCCCCAGGGGACAATGGGAACATTGCAGGACCCCCGATGGCCACCCCGTCTCTACTCCTTCCTTCTCTGAGAGTGACCAGTTTGTCTCCGCTATGTGGCTCACAGCAGGATATTAGAAACACCCATCCAATGCCCTCACGGGATAGTAGCCATGGGAAGGATGGCCCTGTCTGAGGCTGGAGCCCGCGGGGCCACAGGAATGCAAGCAGGAGTTTGGAGAAGTCTCCATAAAGGGTATTAACAGGGTCTGATGGTAATTCTGTCACTTATTGGCTGTGTGGCCTTAGAAAAGTCGCTCACCCTTTCTGGCCCTTAATTCCTTCACATGGAAAAGTGAGATGATAACACTCCTCTGCCATGACCCTTTGCCACAATAAGAGGCATAAGAACTGCCTCTGATGACAGCAGCCTTTTGTGGCTCTTCTGCTCTTGACTGGGTTATTATTATTCTTTGTTTTGGTGCCAAGAACATATGGTTAAGAATCCAGGGGTGCTTAACCCCTGACCCCCATCCTCAGCCCTTTTTAACATTTATATTTAGAGACAGGGTCTCCTTGAGTGGCTTAGGGTTTTGCTGAGTGCTGAGGCTGACTCTGAACTCACGATCCTCCTGCCTCAGCCTCCTAAGCCCCTGGGATGACGGGCGGGTGCCATTGCTCCCAGCTTGGGTTGGCCGTGGAGCTGTGATCAGATGTAGTTGGTGGGTGCCCCCCGGACGGTCTTCACTGAGCCCTTTTGTACGTCTGGGGGACTGTTGACCTTGAACTGAGACCTGTCCCTGCTCCCTGAGAGCCTCACCTCCAGCAGGCCCGCCCAGCGAGGTCATGGTGTTGGAGAGAGGTCCCCGCCTGTGAGCCGATGGGCACGGGGCCCCCTGAGGCCAGCTTGGAGCTGACTCAGGGTCACGACTGCTGTACTTGGCGGGTCAGACGGAGTCTAAGGAGGAGCCCTGATTCCAGGAGGAGGAACATGGGCTCCTCTTCAGGAGGAAGCTGCAAATCAGTCTGCAGAGAGCTTGAACCAGGCAGGGACACAGGAATCAAAACACAAAAAGCAAGCCACTGTTGCCGCACCCCTTCAGGTGGCTGTTTGGAATATCTATTGAAGCAACGTGGAGAGTGCCGGTCCGTAATCTCATATGTGGTGACAATGAGATTTTTCCCCACACTGCTTCACTTATTTCTCATTATCAAAATCGTGCATGTGCCTTATTTTAAAGAACCCTAGGAAATGCATAGATCCATAAAGAAACAAGAAATGCAGTTTCCTTTAGCTTCTCCACCCAGAGGTGACCCTTTATCGTGGGCTGTCGTTGAGACTCATTAGAGTCTAAATTTTTTATACAGTTTTCTCTGCAAATTTCTGATCCTCCTGTGCGTGTGATCTTGCTGTCCACTGTCTTTCCCACGGCATTACATTCTATTTCCTCACCCCATTTACAGATTTTTAGTAAATGTGCATTTCAGTGGTTATGTCTGACTCTTTATTAACTTTCTTTTTGACACCTGGGTGATTTCGAGGTGAGGATACAAACAACACTGTGTTGGACATTTGTGCCCAGCCCTGTCTGAGTGTCTGGTTACTGCTTTTGGTTTTTTTTTTTGTTTGTTTGTTTTGTTTTTGTTTTTTTTTGGTACCAGGGATTGAACTCGGGGGCCCTCGACCACTGAGCCCCGTCCCCAGCCCTATTTTGCATTTTATTTAGAGACAGGGTCTCACTGAGCTGCTTAGGGCCTTGCTGTGGCTGAGGCTGGCTTTGAACTCACGATCCTCCTGCCTCAGCCTCCCGAGCCACTGGATCATGCACCACTGCACCCAACAATACAATTTTTTAAAATAATTTTTTATATAAGAAGCTGAAGCGACGTCCTCACTTCTTTTTCTGAGAGCTTTCTGCCCCTAACTTCTGCACCCTGTGGCCTGTAGGAAGATGTTCCTGTGAAGTTCGACCTCCCGGAGTCTTCCCCAGCGACAACAGTGGCCGTTGTGGATCAGAAGCCCTCCCAGGTAACAAGGGACCCTGCCACCAAGGTGGTCAGAGGTGACCAGCAGGTTGGAGCCTTCAGGCTGCTGGTTCTCCACACGGCCTGCACCTGGCACCCCCCCAGGTGCTGGGACACTGAGGCCCGGGAGCCACCCCAGCGTCTGTGCTGATGGCCTGGGTGTGGTCCAGGCGACGGAGATGGAAAGGTGCTGGGGCCGGGGACCCTGCTCAGCTGTGTGTCTGACCATGGCCTGGAGGGGCTCAGAGGGGGAGCTCGGAGTCCTTCAGCTCTCTGTTCAGACAGAGGTTCTGGCCCAGCAGAGACTGGGTCCTGGGGAATGAAGAGTGAGAGGAGCACCCTTAGGACACACGGGGGTGCTCCACCTGCCTCCTCCCATCCAAACCCGCAGTGCTCCATGATCTGTGTTGGCCCGCCCCATCCTGGGCTCAGGACCCTTTGATTGACGTCTTTCCCCTTTCTTTACCTTTGGATGGGACCAGCTCAGGCTCAGGAACCCTCCTGCCTTGGTCCTGACCTTGGTGACCTTGGGCACACCTTGCACCTCTCTGAGCCTCGGTTTTCTCATCTCCAGAATGGGAATGGTTCCTCTGCGTGTCACTGAGATATGGCACTGGAAGCACCAGGCACGGGGGACGTGTTGGGGACATCCTGCCCGTGGCCCCTCTCCTGCCAGGGACACTGCAGGCTGCCCTTTTCCCCATGCCTTGTCCCCCAGGTCCAGGGTGGTTTCCATGCTGTCCTGTGGGCCACAGCAGGCTGAGCCTCTCACTCCAGGCCCCTCCCTCGTATGCCCAGGCCATGGCCACCATGCTGTGCTGCTTGGTGGTCACTCTCTGGCTCACCTCGCCCTCTCCTTAGAGGGGCCGGGCCCAGGAGACAAATCAACAGTGCTGGATGGGAAGGGCAGTGTGTCCCCTGGGGCCACTGGGCTGTGACATAGAGTGGCTACCTTCTGAGGATGGGCCAGCTGTCCATTTCAACCCCAAAGAAGGTAGCCAAAGGCTGGTAGCACACACCTGTCATCCCAGCAGCTCTGGAGGCCGTGGCAGGAGGATCCCAAATTCAAAACCAGCCTCGGCAACCTAGCGAGGCCCTGAGCAAATCAGCGAGGCCTGTCTCTAAATAAAATATAGAAAGGGCCTGGGATGGGGCTCAGTGGTTAAGTACCCTCCTCCCGCTAAAAGAAGAGGAAGGGGCCAAGGTGAAGGCCCAGGATCCCCGGGGTCCAGCTGTAGCCGTCCCTGGGACTCCCCATGTGGTCCTGGGGTGTGGCTCTGAGGGCTGTGGGCCAGGGTTTCCCAGCCCTGCTTGGCCTGTGCGCACCGTACTCCCCAGCCTTAGCCCTGACATACTCCCCAGCCTCTGCATCCTGGGAAGCCCCTGGGTCCTGGGCACTTGGGGTGGCTGGCCACTGTCCACAGCCCACACCGTTTTTGGTCATGGCCTCTCCTGTGGGCCTCAGCTAAGCCTATGAAACTCCCTGGACCTCTGTGTCCCCCTCAGCAAAATGGCAGAGTGGCCTGTGGCTGAAGCTGGGGCCAAGTTCTGTGTCTGCGCTTTTGAATCAAGTTCACCTTCTCCTCGGAGATGTTCTTTGAGGGCGTGTGTGTGTGTGTGTTTCATTTATTCCCAAAACTTTAGTTTGGAAAAATACAAAAAGGAAGTGGCGTGGGTGGAATCAATCCTTTCCTGCTTGGCTGTGTACAAATAGTCTAGCTGCCTCCCTCCGTCTAGAAAGACGCCGTTGACAGAACACTCACCCTGGTAGTGCCTCACTGCGGCTCTCTGAGGAGGATATTTCTGGTCTCCATTTTTTTCATAGGAGAAAATGAGGCCCAGAGAGGTACAGAAAGTTGCCCAAGGGTGCCCAGGAGGGAAAGGCAGATTCTGACTCCTTGAAGTGGAGAGGTGTTACCGTTTTGTGGCTCCAACACTGAAAGTTTGGGGACCCGTGGGAGCACAGGACAAAACAGACTGTCCCTCACTGTCCCCTGGGTCTCCCATCAGGTCCACTTACCAGCTGGAGGAGGTGCCGAGGATGCCAGGGGCCTTCTCTGGGTCCTGGATGAGGAGGTCCGGGTCGAGGGCTCCAGTGACAGCGTGGTGCTCGAGCGTCTGCGGGTGGCCTTTGAGAAGGGAGCTGGAGGTGAGGGTAAGGAGCTGGCGGGGCAGGGTGCAGCTCGGGCGTGGAATCCATCAGCCAGGAGAAGCCCCGGCAGGGTGGGGCACTGCCGTGCGGAAGCGCGGACACACGTGCCCGGATGAGCTGCTGTGCCCCTGGTGCTCATCCATTGGTGTATGTGACAAGCGCATCAGCAGCCGCCCTGTGCTGGGCACTGTTGCACACGGCAGTGAACCAGACTGACGTGGCCTGTCATCCCAGGGGCTCAGAGGCTGAGGCAGGAGGATGGTGAGTTCCAAGCCAGCCTCAGCAAAAGCGAGGCCCTAAGCAACTCAGAGAGACCCTGTCTCTAAATAATATATAAAAAGAGCCAGGGAGGTGGCTCAGGGGTTAAGCACCCTGGGTTCAACTCCTGGGACATGATGCAGGGAAGGATGGAGATGTCACCTGGGTCACCTGGGCTCAGGTGGCAGAGGCTCCTGTGGACCATGCACAGACCTTGGTTTTGACCCTAGAGCAATGAGAGGCCCCAGGGTGTCTGGGCTGGGGGAGGTGTGGAAGGGTCATGTCTGAAGGTCCAGGCAGGCTGCAGGGGAAGGCCGCCAACCTGCGGGTAAAGCCCACAGCGTTTGGTGGTGGGTTGGATTGGCGGGAAGTGAGAGGGCGATGGAGGCACCAGGTGGGACCCTGGGATTGGACAGCTGTCAGTCCCAAGTTCAAGTTCAGCTGTTCCTGCTTCCTCCGTGTGATTCTGAGCCAAGCTCCCGTGGTTAGTGGATATGCTGATAAAACAGGGGGAGCCCCCAGCGCCTCTCTCCCCAGAATCTCCGCCATCGTGATTGAGTGTGTGACGTGCCAGGGAGCCACACCACAGGGGTAGCACAGGCAGGATGGGGGACAGGAATGTTGTCGGCAGTGAAGACGACGACCCTTCTGTCACTCAAGGGGTCCGAGGGGTACTGCGGTCCTCCCTGGAGATGGTGCACTGAGGGCTCGGTTGTGCCATCTGGTGTCATCCGCCTGCCTTTGGGGACAGATAGTCTTGTCTCCAAGACGAGGGAGCAGGTCTCTAGAGAGGAGAGACTGGTCCACGGTCACCCAGAGGAGGAGGTCGGGGCACATTTGAAGCCAGGCGTGTCTGGTGGAAGCTCTTGGGACCTGGATGCACCAGGGCAAACGCATTTGGAGGCCTTCCTGGTCCCAGCCGGCGGTGGCCACTGGGACGTGGGCTCCTCCGCTTGCTGGTGCATTCAGCAGGTGCTTGTGGAGCTGCTGACGTGGAAGGCTCATTCCCCCGGGGCGCATTCCCATCCTCCCCGGGGCTGGTCCTGTGGCAGGCATGGGGTGTGACCCCCGGACTCTGTTGGGAGGGGCTGGAGGAACAGGTCAGCAGAGAAGATGCCCAAGGACGAGCCTCGGGACATCCCAGCGTCAAGAGGTCCAGGCCAGCACCAGCCCAGGGGCAGTGGCACTGAGGGAGCCAGGCAGGGAGGCAGGAGGGGAGCCAGGGGAATGTGACAAACTGGATGTCACAGGAGGGAGGGACTTGCTGTGGTGAATGCAGGTGTCAGGTCACGTGAGGCGCAGGCTGAGCGAATGTCCAACAGGAGGGGTCATGAGAAGCTGGGAAAATCCCTGCGAGCCCCTGATCTGGTGGTGCCAGGAGAAGTTCCCATCCCATGTGACCATCTTATAATGACCAGCCTGCAGTGACTGTCCCATGGTGACCGGCTTAAGATGACCAGCCTATGGTGACCAGCCTGAGGTGACTGGTTGAGGCCTCTGTGTGGGACATTCATGGCAGAGTCCTGTGCCCGTCTAAAGAGGACATTTTCTAGGTAGCCGCAGCAGCAGCAGCTGACAGTTCCAACCTCAGAACTTGCTCGGGGGCCCAAACCCAGACTGCTCCCAGAGCCCAGCTCTGCCAAAGACGGGCTCAGTCGCTTCTGCCAGGTCGGGGGCATAGTGCCTGGGGACCCAGGAAGGTCACACCGTGGTTTTGAACTGTCCCTGCCCTGCAGCGGTCCTGCCACTTGCTGTGGCTGTGGCAGGGTCTGGGCTCTGCGGAGCGTCTGTCCCCTGCCAGCCGGGGCAGGAGGGCAAAGGGGTGGAGCCAGCTTCTCTCTGTAGAGCCCTAGTGTGGGCCCAAGGTCACGGGCCTTGCTGTGCCTCACCTGTGTCCGAGGCCCAGCCAGCGGCGGGTGGTTCCCTGCTCCCGTAGGTGGCTTCCCCCAGGGCCAGGCAGACCGCCCCAGCCCCCTGCAGCTGTGGGGTTGTCCCGTCTCCACGTTGGATGTGCCCAGGGAGACGGGTTCAGAATCGTCAGTGGCTTGGCCCCTCTCATGCAGTAACAATCGCTAGGGCCTCAGTTTTTCTCCAAGGCCAGGCCCATTGGTGCCCCGACCCTGTCTCTGGCCACCCGCTGTGTGCCTGTGTCTTCCAAGAGGCTGATGCCTGTTTACTCAGTCGATGACATTCAAGACCATCTTAGGTGACACGCAGATAAATATTTTAAAAATACACAATAACTCTTTATTTCCATGGGTATTAGAAAATCAATCTAACCTGCACATCAAACCTGCCACAGAACGTGTCTTTACAAAATGTAGAAACTTATAAAGATGGGTGTTGATTTAGAGAAAGCATTCAGTCACTCACAGCCTAGGTGACAGGGCGTACACGTGGCAGAACTTTTGAAGATCGTGTGTGTCATGATGTTTGAGTGGACATAGGATCCTGGGTTTAAGAAGGCAGAGAGAGCCGGGCACGGTGGCCCACGCCTGTCATCCCAGCGGCTCGGGAGGCTGAGGCAGGAGGATAGTGAGTTCAAAGCCAGCCTCAGCAAAAGGGACGTGCTAAGCAGCTCAGTGAGACCTGTCTCTAAATAAAATACAGAATACAGCTGGGGATGGGACTCAGTGGTCAGGTGCACCTGAGTTCAATCCTCAGTACCAAAAAATAAAATTAAATTTAAAAAAATAAATAAAAAAGCAGAGGAGAAAAATCCCCATCGCAAATAAGGTGCATCAATTCCCCAATGCAGAAGAAGCGAGGTGCCGTGAACCCTCAGCCTCAGCTCTCTAGAAGCCTGCTAACAGGGAAAAAAGGTGTTCTTGGGGACGCCAGCTGATTGCAAAGTGTCCCCAGGGGACCCCAACATTCAGGCCACCATGTCTGTCTGCAGGGACCTCCGCCCTGAGGACCTGTGAGCAGCCCCTTCAGTGCGAGATCGCCCACCAGCTGGGGCAGGACCCCGTGCGCTACGACCTCACAGGCTGGCTCCACAAGGCCAAGCCCAACCTCTCGGCCCTGGACGCCCCCCAGGTCCTTCAGCACTCAAAGAGGTGAGCCACCCGGGCTGGGGACGGGCGGGGGCATTGGAGGGCTGGGAATCCTTCCCCAGTGGGACAGCAAAGCCACACCAGCCCCGCGAGCGAGGGCCGATCTCCCAGAGTGCAGTGGTGGGCTGTGTCCCCAGGGCCAGAGCGACTCCAGCCGAGGAGAGCAGAGGCCTCCTGGGGACGTGGAGCAGAAGCTAACAGGCGGTGACTTCTTAGTTTGGCTCTTTGCCTTTTGTTAAGTGTCTGGGCGATGATGTGACTGGAACAGCTTTTATGGACATCCTAGAACTCGGGGGTCATAAAATCAAAATGACATGTTTTGTAGCATTAAAATAAAAAAAAGCTCTCTTGTCCCCTGGCTGCTCGTCCCAGACCGGCTGGCACAGCGCCCGGGTGATCCTGCTGTCATTTTGGAGTTAATGGAAAGTGCTTGTTCTGTGTATGCGCCCTGAACACCTCCCAAGTTCAGTGTCGCAGTCCCACAGGGGCAGAGCTTTAGACGCGGAAGGAAGGAAGGGCCGGGGCCTTGGGTGGACATAGCGGAGAGGAAGGAACCTGTCCTGACTGCCCTCTGGGCACCTGGCATCGGCACCTGTACTTAGTAGACACCTCTTAATCCTTATCGAATGCACCGTATCCTTAGCCCATTTTACAGATCTTACTGAGCCCCAGGTGGTGAGATGAACTGCACTTGATCACACTGCTAGGAAAAATGGCCAAACGAGGTCTCAGCGGTCCTTAGAGGACTCCTTAGGATGTCATGGTCAGAGGGAATCGGAAACCCCAGGTCCAGCAAGGCTCGTGGGCATCCGGGTCCTGAAGACAGACCAAGGCAGGAGATGGGGCAACAGTAAGGTCAGCAAGTCCACTGAGGACTGGACAGGGAGCCAGCGGACCTGGTTAAGTCCCTTCCCGCCCCTTGTCACCCCTCCTTTCTCTCCTCTGGGCTGGTTTGGTTTCCTCCTCCATAAAATAGCACTGGACCCACCCAGTTAGGAGACTTGGCAGCTGAGGCAGAGCTTCAGAGGAGGTGAATGTTCCGATTCTGCTTCTGTCTTTCGAGCTGCATGACAGGGTGGCTTCGTCAGCTGGGAGATGGGACCGAGGGTAGCCATCCTGATGGTGAGGTCAGGCCTGGCTGAGCGGGTGGCTGTGGAGAGGTGGCTCCTCCGCCCGTCTCGGTGGGCTCTGCCTCGCCTTCCTGTGCTACAATCCGGCGGCTCCATCAGAGTGAGCACTGAGCTGGGGAGGGGCAGACTTGACGGACAGATGGCCTTCCCCGTGGCGCCGGGGCACGGGAAGGAGGAAGGGCACGGGGACGTCTCGGCCCTTGCACGAGGGTGACAAACACGCACATTGAGAGGGACCCTCTTAGAGGGTCTTGAACACGTCCTGGTGACCCTTCTGTGCACTGGTGATGTGGGGGGGGGCAGGTCACTCACAAAACACACCACCTCCCAGTTCTGTCCAAATTGAAGAGTCTTTATTTAGCTGGCCGGCCACTGCTCCCCACGGGACCCATGACTGTCTCTGCAAGGAACAGCCCTGAGCCTGAGCATTTTAGAACTTTTAAAAAAATTTTTTAGTTGTAGATGGACACAATACCTTTATTTTATTTGTTTATTTTTTATGTGGTGCCAAGGAGCGAACCCAGTGCCTCATGCGTGCGAGGCAAGCGCTCTACCACAGCCCCAGTCCGCATTTTAGGATATTTAAAGGCCAAAACCCACATCTGGGTTGATGTAGCTGCAAGCAGGCAGGAGCAGAAACTGGATGGGCAGTTAGCGAGACAGTGCAATGGGGACGTTGATATTTCCCAGGGTCTCTCCAGGTTGGCATAGCAACAAGCCAGCAGAAGGGAGGGGGTCAAAATGACCCTAGTTGACTACACACTAGACAATGGTTACTAATGTCTAGGCAGTCAGTCTCTGACAAGGTACATCACCCAAGAAAAATGGAAACCAAAGAGAACACTTTTACATTGCAGAAGAATTGCCAGTTTGTGCTGCCAAGTATCTCTGCCAGGTCCCTGTTGATGGGTACGGAGGCAGCTTTCCCTGGGAGAAGCGTGGAGTCTCGGGGTAAAATGGTTTGGTCATTGCCCAATAGCCTGGCCCACAACAGAGGGCAGAGGAGCTTTGTGTTTCAGAGTGTGACTGGGGCCACGTGCCCTGGACCCCCGGGACCACTGTTCAACATTCAGATTCCAGCCCCCTGCAGTCTCCAGGGGAGGTCCCCAGCTGCTGTGTAGCTGGGGAACTTTCTAGAAGGCCCTTACACATACTCAAGTTTCAGTTCCATTGGTCTGATAAAAGTCTTCGATACCTGGGGAGTCAAGGTCCCCTGGAGAGAACAGGTGACGTGGCCAAGGTCACGTGACAAAACCCAGAGGTTTCATTTCAGTCCTGTAGACAGAGGAATCCACGTGCCGAGGTCAGGGCTCCTGTCCCTGAGCCAGCGGTGGCCCTCGCGCCTGGGCCCACATGCTCCCCTGCAGGCTGCTGGCCCTGGGGCCCCTTTCCACGTCCTGGTCAGACTTTCCTCCGAGTGTGGGCATCTTTGTGCATCCGCCAGCATTTCCCCTGCGCCTGTCACCTTTGGCGCCCTAAACAGTCTGCACGATCCGAATGGACGCGGGTCTTCAGGGCTGAGAGTGGGAGCCGGACTTTGGGGAGCTCTGGGGGGGTGCTGAATGCTTCCATCGGAGGAGGGTGGGGCACCAGCCCTCCTCTGGCTGCCAGTCCCCTCCTAAGGGACAGCAGGGTCTGTCTAGCTCTGTTTGTCCTTTAATGCCCAAACCAGAGGGCAGGTCAGTTCAGGATGACCCGAGCCACCCTTAAAGGCAGCGTCATGGTCATGGCTCTCAGGAGGCGTCGTGGCGGGGTTGCAGGGGAAGGGTCAGCTGCCTCTCAGGCGTGAGGCCGGGCACGCCACTGACCTTCTCTAGCAGCTCCAGAATCTGCCCGCTCAGCAGTGTACCCTCATTCATGCATGAAGCAAATAGTAAGCACCTGCTGTGTACTAGACCTGTTCTGGGGATGACAGAGGTGGCGTGCCCTCTAGGACAGAGGTGGCTTGGTGGCTTGCTGAGGTGTACAGGTGGCAGAGGACCTGCAGGAGGACTGCTCACAGGGAGGGAGGAGGGCGCGTTTGCTGGTGGCAGGGAGGCAAAGGCTCGGTGGCGAAGGGACAGTGCAGGTGCAAGGTGAGCCCTTCCTTTTGTCCCCACCTGGGACAGGCTTCCCCGAGAGCCCCCTGAAGCCCGCTGTGTCGTCCTTCTGCCCACAGGGAGGAGCTGCAGAGCCTGTTCCAGGCGCGGGCCAAGCTGCCCCCCGTGTGCCGGGCAGTGGCGGGCCTGGAGGGCACCTCGGAGCAGGCGTCGCTGCGGAGCCGCGTGGTGAGGAGGACCTTCGCCAGCAGCCTGGGCGCCGTGAGGAGGAGAGCCCCGTGCTCCCACATCAAGCTGCAGATGGTGAGTGGCCTCCAGGGACCCAGGTCCCCACCTTCTGTGGGAGGTGGCATCTGCTGACAGCGTCCCCCACCTCCCCACCAAGCCTGGGGGGTGGCAGCACCCTGTGCCCTGCAGGGAGGAAAGAGAGGCTCTACCACAAAGAGACCTGGCCGCGGCCACTCACCTGGGAGGGGCAGATCACGGCCTCGCGGCTTGGCACAGAGCGGGGCCTGGGAGAGTGCCCGGAGCCTCGGATGCTCCCCCGGGACGGTGACCCATCAAGCCAGCTCCACCTGCCCTTCCTACCAGGAGGCTGTGGGGACGCCAGCTCTGGGTGACCACATTTACCTAGGCCACCGTGTCAACCCATTAACCCACCAGAAGATTTGACTGGGCAGCAGTGTGGCTGAGCCAGTCCAGCTCTTCTGCTGCTGTGATCCCTGGGGCCACTCGATGGCCCTCTGTGCCTCCGTTTCCCTTAGGGATCTCAACGGTGGCTGCTATGAAGTCCTCTTATGTCTCCTAAGTACCAATCGGGATGGTGGTAGAGGACACGGGGCCCCCAACGATGCCCCCAACAATGCATGTTGGGGGCATGTCAGGACCTCCTGTCCACCTCCCCCAAGACCAGGCATCCCTGACCCCTCCTGTGGGCTTGTCCTAGGACGCTCTGGTCAACCTGGTGAAGCGGTCCCGGCTGCACTTCATCCACTGCCTGACGCCGACCCCGACGGTGGAGAGCAGGGGCCGGCAGGGCTCTCCCACACCACCGCAGCCTGATGGGGACCAACCCGGGGCAGACCAGCCCCTGTCCCTGGACATCCCGGCACTCAGGGTGCAGCTGGCGGGATCACACATCCTGGAGGCCCTGCGTCTGCACAGAACAGGTGAGCGGAGCCTCGTCCCTGGTCCCTGTTGCTCCCCTGTTGGGGACAGCGAGTGCCCTTCCAGGCTGAGTAGGTTTATGGTGGGAGAGATCCGCACAACCACAGGGGTCATCTGGGATGGGATGAGGCGTAGGTCACACAGGGGTGCCTGCAGGAGGGAGCTTGGTGTTCTCCCCGGGGAGACCAGGGGCCTCCTGATGGGGTCTCGAACATCCAGAGTGGCTCAGAGTCTTGGAGGCGGGGACGAGGAGCATCAGGGAGAAAATGAGCACCTTCGCAGGTGGGGGTGAAAGGGCGGGTGCTTCAGGAGTGGGGTTCACAGTGGATGGGCCGTGGGAGGAGGCTGGCAGTCGGCTTTCCCTGGTCCTGCTGGGGAGAGGATGGGGGTCCCCGGCGAGGCAGAGGTTCAGTCAGAGGGACCGAGTCCTCAGTTGGCCATTTAGCAAGCCTGCCTCGTGGTTCCACCACTGGCTGATCCTGTGAGTTGAGCTTGGTCTCTAACTTTCCTCTTCTCCTGGGCCACTCGGTCCCCAGCCTCCATGTGGGTTCCCCCCCCTTCCCCGTGACAGGTGGACGTGGGCTGCAGAGGGTGGGTTCCTGGGGCTGGCAGGGGTCTCAGGTGGGCACCTGTTTGTTGACCTGCACTGTGGTCACTAACAGCGGCTGGGGGTCCGCCACCACATCCCCACCCCCGCATTCTTCACGGAAGCCTGGGCAGGGGAGCTGGGAACAGCTGGAAGCCAAGAGGAGACTCTCCCTCCCCTGAGTGCGCCAAGCACCATTGACTTTCCCTCCCACTGTGTAGCTGGAGGCGGAGGGAGGCAGATGATGTCACAGGGCAAGAACCAGACGGTCACAGCTGGCGGCTCGGCCCACAGCTCATCAATTTCTGCCCAGTGGCTGGCAGGAAGCACCGGCCTCTGCAGGTGCCCTGGGTCGTCCTAGGACCATTAGACTCTGTGCGTGTGTGCCAGGGTCGGTGTCCCTTCCCCAGGCCTTGCTCCTGCTGTCACCATGGGTCTGTCCCCTCCATTGGCACAGCCCAACCCAGACGGGGTGAGCTTTCCAACCAAGTGAAGGGCGATGGCTCATGCTAGGGCTTAACAATGCCTGCTTCTCTGTCCTCCTCCCTCCCTCCTCCTCCCTCCTCCCTCCCTCCTCCCTCCTCTCTTCCTCCCTCTCTCCCTTCCTTCCTTACCTCTTTCAAACCCACACGAGTCACATCTGCATGGCTGCAGAGATGCATGCATTAGATACGTCTAACTGAGGACCGGGCCTGCGAGACGTGGCCACAGCTGTCTACACATGTGATGAGGCACATACATGCTACTTCCTGAGCACTTACTATGTGCGAGGGACTTGTGGTCACACACGTTAGATGAACTGGTTCCCGCAGAGCCCTGGGCACGGTGCCTGGAGTGTACTTGGCCCTCTGTACCTGTGGGTTTCTCGTCTCCAGGGATTCGACAGTCTCAGGTTGGAAGTGTCTGGGAAAAGACTGCACCTGTATTGAACATGTTCAGGTTTTTTTTCTTGTCATTATCCCCTGAACAACAGAGTCTAACAGTTATTTTGACAGCGTTGACATTTGTTGGGGATTATGTCATCTAGAGATGATTTAAAATAGATGGGAGGAGGGACAAATATGAGAGCATTGGACATCAGGGCTCGAGCCTGCGTGGAGTTTGGTATCCACGGAGGGTCCCTGCACCAATCTCACTGCAGATACCAAGGGGTGACCGTGTAGTAAGTGCTCATTAAACATCCCCTAAGGTCCATCCTGGTGAGTCCAGCTCAGGCTCTAACATGAGGTGGCCTGGGCTGCTTCTGCTGCCACCTCTCGGCAGCCGTGTGACCCCAGGCAAAATCTGTAGACAAACTTCTAGTTCCTCCCTCAAGAGACTTATCACAAGAGCTGGTTACTGGTGAGGGGAAAAACTGAGAGGGGCTGGATATGGGGGAGCAGTGACACATGTTAGCCACCAGCTGTCCCCAGCATGCTCCATCCCCACAGTGACCATGAAGCCAGGTCAAGCTGTTCTCATGCATCAGGTTCAGAAATGGCATCTCCGAGAGGTGGCATCCTTTTTCCCAGTCTTGAGGCTAATGAGGGCAGACATGAGACAGGAGTCCAGCTAAGTCTGACCTAAAAGAAAAATGCAGCTGGGTGCAGTGGCGCACACCTGTGATCTCAGCGGCTGGGGAGGCTGAGGCAGGAGGACTGCAAGTTCGAGGCCAGCCTCAGCAACTTTGCGAGGCTCTGTCTCAAAATAAAAAATGAAAAGGGCTGGGGATGTGGTTCAGTGGTTTAAAAAAAGAAAAGGAGAAGAAGAAGAAGAAAGAAAACTTAAAAAAAGAAAAATGCAGGTTATAACCCCCAGTTCCTGTCTTCATGTCTTCCGTGTCCTTCAAAGCCCTCCCAAGGCCCCTCCTCCTCCCCAAGAAGGCCTCCTGGATTGGCCGTGGGCGCTGTCCCTCCTGGCCTGTGCATTTGTCTTATCATGAAGCCTCAGACGTGGAGTGGACCTCCCCAGACCTCTCCAATGCAAACGCTTTCCAGATCTTTCCTGAGGCTCCATAGTGTCCCTTGTACTCAGGGAGGAAACCCTAACCCTTGAGACCTCAGACACGGGGCCCTGCCCCTGCTTATCTCTGGATCCTCTTTCCTGAATTGCTGTCACTGCCCAGGTCACTATTTTGAGGATCTGGGTGACTTTCTCTGGGCCTCAGTCTCCCCACTGATCAAATGAGGGAAATGATAAAGGTCTAAGTGTCGGTGACACAGGAGGTAGTCACCCAGTGTGTGATGTGTGGCAGCCCTCAGGCAATGCGGCGGTGGCCGTGAGCGTGGCTCAAGGCCACTCTGCTCACGCTGGGTCTTGGTGTCAGTTCCTGCTGTGGAGAACCTGCGTCCACTCCAGCCCTGGGAAGCCCACGGCTCCTCCGAAGCCTGACTCTAAGCCACGGTCTCTCCCGGTTCCCTCCCCGGTGTCCAGTCTGTGTGACAGACTTAAAGAGCCGCTAGCTGCGGCTCAGTGCCGTGTCCCCTGCACAGTCCCTGGAGAGGGAAAAAAGGGGGGGTCCAAGAACTTTCTGTGGTCAACGGGGTTTGGGAAAACCAGGCGCAGGGCCCCTCCCCACAGGAGCCCCCGGACCTTTGGCCTGGTGCTGACAAGGACCAGGACCCTCGAAGAGGAACAAGAGTTCAGCATTTAATAGGAGTTTGTGTTCTGGAAAAGTCCTTTAAATGAGCCGCTGAGGTCCCTGCCTGTGAGTCCCCACGGGACGGAGCAGCCGGGCTGGGTCCAGGGTGCTGGGCCTTGTCATTAGTGTTCTGTGACCTGTCCTGCCTGTGCCCTCCTCTGCCCCAGGCTTCGCCGACCACATGGGGCTTGCTCAGTTCCGCCGACGGTTCCAGGCGCTGGACCCTGCGCTGCCGAAGAAGCTCCTGTCGACTTCGGAGGGAATGGACAAGAGGAAGGTGGGTCCAGCTGTGGGCCCCGGGGGGCCTTGGCTGGGTCGGAGGCGCCCCTGTTCCCCGGGAGCAGGTGGGGACCGAGAGTGGCCTCGGGGGCTGTGCGGAGGGTGGCCTGGGGTTTGGCTCAGACTCCTGTCCCAACAGTGTCACTGGAGCCTGTCCCCACCCTAGGATGTCCCTCCTGAGACCTTGCGTTAGGAAGTGCGGAGAACTGGAGTGTCAGGCTGTCCCAGCTGAATGGGGTCCCAGTGACGTGAAAAGCCATCATTTCTAAGGGGCACTCCCACCCTGCACCCCAAGATGGCCCACAAAAAGAGGGCTTTCGGGTCCAGAAGGCTCAGGAAGTGTTTTGCACCATCTCCCTGTGTCCACCTCCAGGGTCCATCTTCCTGCCCCCACTTCCTCGTCTGTAACACAGGAATGACAATGACAATGACGCCTGCCTGGCAGGCTGTGGTGCAGGTGACGAGCTCCACACAGGGCCTGACCTGCAGTAAGGAGTCAGCATAAATCACTTCCATCAACACCAGCAGCCTCTTCCACGGCCAGGGTGGGGGCCACCAAGCCACACACTCCATTCAGAGCCATGTGGAAATGTCACCTCCCAGCGAGTGTGCCCACGCGGGTCTGAGATAGCTCGGCCATCCTCAAACAGGAGCTGTAAGGCCAGAGGGCCACAGGGCCATGGCTGGTAGAGGTCTTGGCTTGTGTCTGCAGTGGGGACAGGTGGCCTCCAGCAGGCAGGACGGCGCCCCCTGCTGGGGGCTGGGGTGTGGTTCAGGGTCCCCGCTCACTGGGAGAGGCCTCTGCGGACTCAGCCTTTGGGGGCAGGACTGTCCCCTCTCATTTTGGAAGCCAGGAAATGCCAATTGGCTTAGTGCCACCAGCCACTCACTACCAGTGATCTCTCAGGGCTCTTTGTCCTTGGTCCTGCCCCTCAAAACTTGGGCACGAGGTAGAGGGTCCCGAATGGGGCCAGTGAAAGGGTCCTGGTCTCTGGGGCCGTGGAAAACGGGGCAGGGGTGGGCGCAGGGAGTGTCCGCGGGCCGTGGGTGCAGCATATGGGAGCGTTTCTATTCTAGACGACTCGGCAGGTTCCAGTCACAGCCAAGCCGGAGCCACCTCCGTAGTCACCAGAGTCCTCGGAGAGTGGAAAATTCCAGGCAGAGTGAGTGTGGCTGGGGGTTCACTTTATATATATACTTGCTCCCATATTTCATTTGCTGCAGCAGAGAATTTTGGTAGCAAAAAAGGAGACACCATCAACTTATGAAAAGGGGGATAAGCACTCATTTGTCGGGTGATGTGACCCGCCGTCCCTTGTGCCCCAAAGGAGCTCCGTGGGCAAACCAGCAGCCCCCGGTGCAGAGCACCTGACCTCGGGGTGGACACGTCTGACCGCTGGAAGAGGTCAAGGCTGGCGGTAGGCACGGGGCGGCAGCAGATGGAGCTTCCCGTCAGGGTGGACAAGGGGGACGTCCCCCTGGGCCTGGCACGTGGCATCTTCTCATGTCACCACCGTTTCCCAGAGGGTTTTATTGCGTGGGCGCCCACTGGGGATTCTGTGTTCCCGAGGAGTGGCCCGAGCCTCTTACCACAAATGCACAAGCTCCATCGCCAAGTGTCACGCAGGAATGACGACGACAATGACGCCTACCTGTCAGGCTGTGGTAGAGGTGATGAGCTTGACACAGGGCCTGGCCGTAGTAAGGGATCAGCATAAATCACTGCCATCAACACCACAGCCTCTTTCAGGGCCAGGGTGAGGGCCACCAAGCCCTCACCAAGCTTCATCGCCAAGTGTCACACGGTGCGAGAGGGCACAGTCCCCCACCCGAGCCAGTCCTTGGAAGAGTAAACCTCTCCACTCAGGGATGTGGTCCCATGTCACAGCAGAGACAGCTGGGGCTGGGGCAGCCAGCTGGGTGGTGAGTGAGCTGGGATGTGAACGTCGGCTCTCAGAGTCCTTTCACCAGGGACCAGAAATAATAAAACCACATAGCGTAAACTGACCACCATGTTTAAGAATGTAGAGTGGTGGAATTGTGAGTGTTCCTCCTGATGGGTGACCGTCACCACCGTCCATCTCCAGAACAACTTCATCCTGTGAAACTGAAGCCCTGAACTTATGGAACTTTCCACTCCTTCCTCTCCCAGCCCCTGGTGCCTGCCATCTTACTTTCCATCTCTGTGGATTGGACTACTCCAGGTACCTCGTGGAATTGTACAATATGAACCCTTTGTCACTGCTTTATTTTACTTAGTTTAATGTCCTCAAGGCTTATCCCTGAAGGATGCATCAGGTCTTCCTTCTTTTTTAGAGCTGAATAATATTCCACCATGTGTGTATACCTCATTTAACCACCTACTTGTCTGTCAATAGCCACACTGGTTGTTTCCATGGGTTCGCAATCGTGAATAATGAGGCTGTGAACTTGGATGTGACAAAGACCTCTTTTAGATCCTACTTTCAGTTTTTTCAGGTATGTCCCCAGAAGCAGGATTTCTGCATCAGATGCTAATTCTATTTTTAAGTGTTCGAGGAAATTCCAGTTTTCCACAGTGGCTGTACCATTCTGCATTCCCACCGATACCACACGAGGATCCCATTTTCTCTTCATCTTTGCCTCTGTCTCTCTCCCCCTTCTTTCTTTCTTTCATTTTTCATATTAGTCATCCTAGTAGACAGGAGGCAGCATCTCATTGTGGTTTTGAAGCACATTTCCCTAGTGATAAAAGATGCCAAGCAACATGTCCTGCCCTCAGAGGTTTGGACACAGTTCTGGATGGCACGGGCTGTCCATCAACATTGATTTACAGTAGTTACTGTTGATTTCATCCAACTTTAACCAAGTCCCTGCTTTTCTCCCAGCCCCGTGCTAGAGATCCAGGGGTGATCCGAACCCAGCCCTGAGGAGAAGCTCTTTCCATACGGAGGGCGGGCTTGGGACAGCCCAGGGATCCACTGAAGCTTTTGATGCTTCCAATGGAGATGAAAGGAGTCCTGGGGACGGTGCCTCGGGACAGCTGATGCTTCCATTGAGCCTTGTGGGGTGATTTGGAGGAATCGAGTAAGAGAGAGACTTGGGGACATTCCCAGCTCAGGTGTCACAAGTGCAAAGACAGAGTCATGGAGGGTATGGATGGTTAGTGCAGCTGGGGCGTGAAGGTTGCCAGGTGCCCAGGGAGGGGCCAAGGAGGCCATTGGGAGCAAATCCTTCTCCCTGGGAGAGTGTGAGCTTTGATGGACAGCTCGCTGAAGCCGTTATCCTTACTACTTGGGCTTGCTTAAGCAATTTTAAAAGGGAAGTGAAGTCCACTTTGCCCCATCCCATGGTCCTCTCCAGGGAGCAGGGTCTGCATGCTGACCTCTAGCTGTTCAGGACACCATTGGCTCTTTTTGGCGGGGGGGCAGACTGGGGATTAAACTCAGGGGCACTGGACCACTGAGCCCCATCCCCAGCCCTATTTTGTGTTTTATTTAGAGACAGGGTCTCACTGTGTTGCTTAGGGCCTCGCTGTAGCTGAGGCTGGCCTCGAACTCACGATCCTCCTGCCTCAGCCTCCTGAGCTGCTGGGATGACAGGTGTGCACCACCCTGCCTGGCACCGTTGACTCAGCTCTTGACTCTTCTAGACACCTAGGAACATAGACACCGAGACATCTAGGAACACTCTTCTAGACACCTAGACCCTCCCTCTCCTCTCCCCCTGGCTCCCACTCCTCCCTCCCAGGTGGTCCAGCTTGTACCTTCACCAACACTGACCCCCCACTCCCATGGTGCTGTGTCGCACGTGCCAGTTAAGGACCTCTTTCAGCTCCCCTGGGCCACGCCCCAGATTCTGTCTCTTCTATCTCTGCTGCCAAAGCAGGAATTGAAATCTCTGATCAATGCAAGCAAACCCTGGGGCCCCCCTTCCCTGCAGGGTATCTGTAGCGTTGATTGATTTTTAGCCAACAAATTCTCTCTCTCTCTGGGCACTTGATATGAGAAATATAGGTGAGGACTTTCAATTCATCTTCTCAAAGGTGCCCACATTCCCTTTCTCAAACCCTGGTTGCTGCTCCTAGTGTCCTCTGAGTTCATCTCAAGAGCCCCTGTGCCAGGGAGAGTCCTCCATGAGTCCCAGGCTGGGGAGGGAGCTGTCCGCCCTGAGGTGCTGAATGGCGACTCAGCGCCTGGCACAGACTTGGGAGGGGCCATTGGGCAGCCATTTCTGCCTTGCTTGCGGTGCCCTCTGGTTTGAGTCTTCAGTGCTGAAGATTTTAGATGTTTGTAGTCAATGGGAACTAACTTAACTGTGTGTGTGTGTGTGTGTGTGTGTTCTGCTTCTTCTATTTATAGTCCAAACATATGAAATATTCCCCACCCTTAGGGAATGATTCTGCGATGTGGGAGGTTCATTAGTTACAATATGGTTTAGGTTAGACGCACTTGGGTTCAAATTGTGTCCTTTTCTGTATCTCTTTCCACGAATGCATACCATTGACACTTGGTATTTATTATGCCTGAACATAGACCAATGGAATTGCCACAGCAAAGTGGCCAGCACATAGTAGGTGCTCAGTGGAAGGCCACCATTGGGCTGAGGCATGGATTTCATGGAGGCAGGCAATGAATGGAGCAGCCCATTCTGTGGACTTGGATCCACCAAATCCCGAGCTCATAGAGGAGGCCGGTTCGGGAGGCCGTGTCAGGAGGCTGGGTTGGGAGGTGGATAGGGAGGCAGGGTCTGGGCCACATTTCTCATTTTTCCTGTCATCTCTCACCGTCTGACAGACATGTCAGCGCATGTACTTGGTGAGCGCGTACTTCCTGAAGAGCAGAGAGAAAGCTCTGCAAAATTCTAGGATGCGATCCCGCTAATTTTCCTACCAGTTCCTGAGTGTCAAGTATTCAAGCCTCCAGTTATTAATTAATTAATTAGTTGCTTTTGTACCAGATATTGAATCCAGGGACTCTTAACCATTGAGCCACATCCCCAGCCTCCTTTTTAAAATAA